AACAACTAAAAGTTTTCACAAAAGAGCAAAGTTGGCTACTTCCCCATGGTGGAATTATGTATGAATTTTACTTTGTTAGCTATATTTTCAAGTGTGTTTCTTTATAACCAAAATAATAATGTAACCCAAGTAATAGCTGGAAGCTAAGGACCATCTTTGTGGGACAAGTTCCATGTCTTTAGGGTAACTGCATATGTCAGAAATGGTTTGTAATGGATATATGTACCTTAATATATTTTAGGGGGAAAAGGTGAAATAAATATGGAAACAAGTTAATGATCAAAACCAATGGTTTGTAATGGATATAAATTAATTCTGCGAAATTTTCCCTACATAGTCAAGAACACTCATCCTGATTTGAACTATTCGTTTTTTCTTCTCTCTTCCTACTTACCATGGGTATAGGTGATCTGAGACTGAGAAGGAAGAAAGAAAAAACAGAGATAGGGTGTACTAAGAACAAAAGGAAGCTACTGAATTCTTCCCTGAACTCTTTCTGACTCCTCCTGGGACCACTGTGGCCTGAGTGGAAGAGAGACAGCATAGAAAACCAGCAACATCAAGCAACTTGTATTTTTCTGAATAGCAGAGCACTTAAGAACCCTCCCATTGCAAAAGGAGTGATGGAGTTTTTTGAGGATGTCAGATTATTTTTTGCCCCAAAATCACTAGATCCTGTCACTATCAGCATGGAAAATTTCACAAGTTGCTTGGCAAGAAGACTAGATTATAAGCTCCTTGAGGGCAAGGACAATGCTCTTCCTCATATTTCTTTACATGGAGGCTAGCACTTCAACATAGTGCCCACTAAGTGTTGAAATCTAGAAGGAAAGATAGCTGAAGACACAGCGTCTCTGTAATAAGCTACAAATATAGTGGAATAAGCTTCATTATATTAAAGGCCAGCAGAACTTGATAGACTCCTTGGTCATCCAGGGGTGGGTCATGGAGCACATTGGGGAGTATGTAATGTAGCTTTTAAAGGGAGTCAGCAGAAGGAGGAGTGAAGTGGGCCAGAAAGAATGTGTATGCTTTGGACAAGCATATTTCATTATGATTTTGTATTTGAAAAGGGAAAAATATGTGTATTAATGATTCTTGTGGGATGGGGTAGGAGACATGGATGTTGAAGGTGTGTGTATAAAGTGTATGTACAAATCTGTGTGCACGTCCAAAGCTGGCTTGAAGGTATGGCATGTTCATGAGTATGAATTTTTAAAGTTAGAGAACCACTGCACTAAATAATTGGGTTCCTCATCCCATTCAAACCACTTTTTTTTTTTTTTAGAGACAGCATGTATTTCTTTGTTTCCCAGGCACAATCATAGCACACTACAGCCTCAAACTCCTGGGCTCAAGCAAACCTCTTGCCTCAACCTCCCCAGTAGCTGGGACTACAGGTGTGCACCATCATGCCTGGCTCTCAAACCACCTTATTACTAAAAAAAATAGAGCTTCCCTTTAAACATTAATGATCATGGCCTTCATTATCTCGAGAACCAGTTATCATCCCTAATCTGTTTATACAAGGTCTGTCTGGAAAGTATCCAGCCATGTAATAAGAAAAATAGAGACATTGATTGAAGGCACAAGAAACATTGTATATAGGACAATGACCC